CAGGGGATACCACTATATGCAGTTCAAGTCCTTAAATTCCGGAAATTACTCAAAAATCCAACCAGTAAAAACATGCATGTAAGTTTAAAAATACTCATAACATAAGGAACTAAGATTTAAATTATTTTTGAAAAAATAATTGGTTATATGATGACAAATATTGTCATCTTAGTATGAGAGCATTTTCACTTACAAACTCGTGTTTTAACTTGATAGCGTGACTAGGGGGAATGCAAAAGTATTAATATATATATATATATATATATATATATTATTTAATTATCATGTCATCAATTGATTCAAGAAAATCGTGACCGTTATAATTTTTTTTTTTATCCAAAGTCTAGTCCAACTTTAAAAAATATTTATGTTCATCACCAGTTCACCATCCTTCAATTTATTCTCCTCTCTTTCTTTGATATCCCTTTTCTAAGACCCGTGGCTTTTTATCATTGTTTTTCGTCTTCTATTTTTTTCTTTTTAGTTTTCTGATCCCCACTTTCCCCACTTTTTTCGGAAAGAAATTGTATAATGGGAAATATATAGGTGAATTTTATAATAAACTTTTATAACGATCCTAAATTTAAAATTAAAAAATAATAAAAATAATAAATTAATAATTATTTAATTGATATTTTATTTAAAATAGTTTTATAGTATATGGGGAGAGGTAATTTAATGAAATTATGAAATTTATGTTAGTAACTTTTTTGAAGGTCTAAAATTCAAATTTTATTGAGTAAAAGTTTGATTTCATTTTGTTTTAAATTATAAAAAAATTTGTGTATTTTCTTGTTATTTTCATTATGCCCTTTCTTGTAATTTTTTTAATTATTCATTAATATTATATTCTTTTCCTCCTCCACCACCATTCGAACAACAGAAAGTAGAGGTGAAAATATGGGCCAATCTATGAGTTGAGAGAAATATGGGTTGGGTTGGGTTGGGTTGGGTTCAACCCGTTTTTATATGGGTTGGAAAAATCTCAATCCAATCCAACCCTTAAGGGTTGGCGGGTTAAATCGGCCAACCTGCCAACCCATTTTTTTTTATTTTTTTAAATTTATTTTTAGAATTTTTTAAAAAATATACCTAAATAATAAGTTTTAATTTGATATTAATTTGTACAAAATATATAAATTGATACAGCAAAGTAAATCATGCCTGATATAGTTTATATTCACAAAATTTTTTCCTTTTCTCCTTTTCTTTTAATTTTTTTAACAGTAATATGGGTTAAATGGGCTAACCCTAACCCATCAGGATTAACTCATATGGTTTACGGGTTATATGATCTGGGCAAGAAAAAACTTTGTTTTTATTTGGGTCAATTTTTTTTAACCTAACCTGACCCTTATGATCAGTTATTTGGGCCAACCCACATAACCCGACCCATATTCCTGATTTTAACAGAAAGTAATGAGAGAGTTGGAAATTATATATGTGCCATTCTTCTTATTGTAACTTAACAAAAATATCTAGGTAGTTTATTGTAATTTTGTCAATAGGTTTCATTGCTTAAATTTTTCTTTCTCTTTTTTGGTCAGCTTTGCAGAACCAAATTCAGGGAGCTCGTGTATGATTTTGCTCCTCTCTTCTCCTCTTCCTGTAGCACTTCCCTCGATCTAGCTGAGGTGTTATCACCTCCCCACCGCTGGCAGTTCATCCCTTCTTTTTCCCTCTCTTGTTCGTCTGCCTATCTAGAGTTGAGTAGTTAAAACTCTTCCTCTATTTCTTCTTTACTGTGGGCTAACGATGGTGCATGAGGGTGTTTAAATTTCATCTTCCTCCTTCGTTTTCAATGTTGCCAGTGAGGAAGATGAGGATTTTATGTGCTGCCATTCTTCATCCTTTGCTTTTTTGATGAAGGTTTGTTCGAGCCTTTGACTTATAGTCTCGGGCGTTGCCTCCTTCTTCACTGTTGCAATTGTCAATGCTGCCATAAGTGAGCTCAAAAGCTTCATTTACCAGGTTTTAAAACTGATGCTGTTATGGGAGTTAGTGTGTTGTTGTATGAGTTTTTAATGGTGGTTATCTCTTCCCCTGTACCATCATCGTTGTTCTTCTATCTCTGTTTGCTTCAAGTGCGTTCGATCTCTCTCCCCCTACTCATTGTTCATTTTATGTGGGTGTGTTTTTAAATTGTGATTTGTTGCTTCCTTTTCTTGCTGCCGTGAAGAATGGGGAAGATGAAGATTTAAATTCCTTGAGGTATGACTAATTGAAAAAAAAACTTGGGAGACTGATTTATTTAAATATTGATGTTAAGAGAATTTCTAGAAATGAAAGTGAATGGAAAGAAGTTTGGTATTAGTTTAAGGATTAATGTTCATGAGGCGTTCGATGAAATGCCCGTTAGGAGAATTTTGCTTGATCATGCACTTTATGAAATCTTGTTAATTAGGGTGAAAAGCATGACTGATTCAAATTCTATTTAGTTGAGATTTAACTTGAACATTACTAAGAATTTGATTTTAAGGTATTGTATAGGTAGTTGAATTTTTGGAAGCTCTATGTTAGGCAATCTATAACTATGGTATTGTTTTATCGTTTAGTCTTGAGAATGCATGAGAATGCATTTAAAGTGTTAGACAAAAATAAGTGAATGAAATATGATGAAGCTCATTATAGGTGATGAAATAAAATAGAGTATTGTTTTACAACTTAAATTGGGAATATATCTAAATTATTCAATAAAGTGAGCAATACATGAATGGTGGATTGATAGAGTTTTTGCTAGAGGTCTAACACACACTTTTAATTGATAATTAGCTATAGAAGTTCTGTGATATAAATGATGTTGTTGCATTGAATTACTTAGATTAAATATTGGTTGTGTTAATGTTGAGAGAGGATTCATTGAACTTATGAAAAGTTATTTAGACCTTATTATTTTTTATATATTTTTATAGGATATTTGGAAGAAAAGAGACTTGATTGAAGTTGTAAGGAGTGAATTTTAAATATTAGCAGCTCTACAAGTAAGTAGATAATGTCCCAGTTAATGTATTATCAAATTTTCTTTTATCAAACTATTATATATTTTTAACAATTTACTGTTGTTAATATATAAATTTTTCTAGCACTGATTACTTTTGCTAATTAAATTACTCTAGCTCTTGGAATCATGGCATATATTTATATGATTGGTGAAAATGCTTTCATAAGTTTTAGTAATTTATTTTATTTATATATGATCATGGCAATTAGTGAAGAAGTTTATGAGGTAGTAGTTATGAACTTTTTTAAAAAGGATTGATGTTTTATATAATTCATACGAGTTTGATATCGAGAAAAGAAAACTATATTTTGAAAATGATTATTCTCTCATGTGTTTGGAAAATTGATTTTGAAAAGAACTATATACAGAACACTGGTTGTTAATGACAGTTTCGTTAGCCCTTAGCGTGCCATTGTTAACGACTAGCTAGTTTAATTTTCATGAGCTCTGTTTTTACATCCGTTATTCATGGGTATTATACGTGCGTTTGTTTTCATAGCTTTAAGTCATGTTTGGTTAGCATTATCCTCATGGATGTGTGTTCACATTTATTTTATAGTTTTGACTACGTTTGGTTACTCACCCTTATGTACTGTGTGTTCACGTTTGTTTTCATGGCATAAGTCGTGTTTGATTATTTACTCTCATAGACTATGTGTCCACATTTGTAAATTATTTTAATAAGTCCCTATGAATATAAATTTGATTACTTGATGATTTTATATTTGATTGGTTTTAATTAATAATTTATTTAATATTTATTTATTTCGTTTATTTGCTTCTTTGAAAGCAAGTGATAGTAACATTTGATATAAAAATTAAATGATGCAAAATTTTGTTTAAAGTTATATAGAACCCTTTTTTTTCAAACTTTATTAAACTTTTATGAAAATCATTGTCTCTTTAACTTGCATAGTTGTTTCAAATTTTTCTTTTATTTATGTTCAATTATTTATTGTTGGGACGTTATTTGTTGAAAATAAATTTATCTCAAATAATATAATTGATGATCTACCTTTTTGTTAATCTATGAGGGATTCCTTGTTGAATTGAGGAGAACACCTTTCGAGTATATCTTTCTCGTGCTGTAAATGGTTAATTAGTTGTTATATTTTGAAATTTTAATTAGGTATGCCCCACGTTAACTATAGATAAGATTTTAATTTGTAAAATATTTGTCTGTTTATTGTGAAGGAGCAGAGCTCCGCATTTCTAATTTGGACTGTATATTTCTGTTGTAGAGACTTCAAGAGATCCTATTTAGAGGGTAGATTTTGACAATTTTTTTTAAAGTTTATGAATCTTTTGTTTATATGAAATGTCAAAATTATTTTCCATCATATTTCAAATGAATTAAAATACTAGATTAAAATTTCTTTAATCAAGGCTTAAGGGATATATGTTTATATATATATCCCGTACCAATCATATCTAATTTTTGGGGCATGACAACTTTCATGTTTGATCCATTGAATGTCTATAAGATATATATAAATTATATCAATTAAAATTTCAAAATCACAATCATTTAAGTGGATAATATATATTTTTCAATGGTTTTATAATCTTAAATAGAGATTGGAATAAAACCTTTTTTGCAAGCATGAATGAATTGACACATCTTCACTTTTTGTTTCAAGATTTTCTGTTTGTGTTAAAATATTTTATTTATTTTAAAATGGAAAGTTAAGATCATATTTTTGTAGTGTCATAAGATTATACGTTTTAGTGAATATTACATTTTTAATTAAAAATAGTCAAGTATTGCTTTATATTAGCTAAAAATTATATTTTAATTTTTAGAATAAAAAAGGGAAAAAAGTGTCATATGAAAAAAAAAGTGACCTACAAAATGTGAAAAATGGATATTACTTTTTTTTTGAAAAAATAAATTAAAAGAAGTGTCCCATTAAAAAAAAAAGGTAGAATAAATAGATTTTTCTCAAAGTATACTACGTATACGTGACGCTCCACTGTTGTTAATTAATGATATATGGTCTGTTTCACTTGGATGACTTTGTTCACCATGTCATAGTTACAAATAGTTGGAGTTCATGAATTTTTCCTATGAAGTATTCCCACTGATCGATCAAAGCAAAGCCGTCATCCCCATGTGCAAGTACTTTCCTTTCCTTTTCCTTCCCCTGTGATTACGTGAAACGCGTGTCGGCGCCCCAAAGTCTTGCCATCACCTTCCATTATTAGTTCTCACTTTGCACTGTCTTCATCAGAAACTCATCTTTTGATCTCACTTTCTCAGCACACACCATGGAGTTTGACATCGTTGTTATCCAACAAATTGCCTGGAGATTCCTGGGCTTCGTATCAAGTGTGGTTGGATTCATCTGTTATGCCTTCAGCCCGTCCTTCCACAACCTGTTTGGACACTGGACTTTGTTCAAGATCATTCTGTACTCTTCTCTCAGCTCCATATTCCCCGTCTTGACGCTCTTCATCAACAAGTTCCCGCAATTCTCACGGGGTTTCTTGTTGAAAGCTCACGTTGGGTTTCTGGCTCTCATGCTGACATCTCTCTACTCTTTCTATGAAGACCGGAGTAATAAACAGGGGGAAGAAGACGAAAAGGGACGCAAGCATGTACTAAGTATTGTCTCGTTTGGAGCATTTGCCTCCATGTCGATCAGGTTGTCTAAACAAATTCAACCTGAACTTGACGTGGGCATGTCTAATTTTCTCCTAGGATGTCTTATCGTGGCTTTCATGAAAATGAATATTAAGATCGCTCTCGGTGTGTCGGCTTTGTTCTATATTCTCATCAGCACTGTTCGTTCCTACTGCGATTCCCAGACAGGGTTGCCTGATGAAGGTGATGCAGAACGAGAAATCGTGGTTGCTCGTAATGGTCAAGAAGAAGCAGAGGTCATGATCGTTTCGGAGTCCACCATCGACATGCCGAGTTTGGTTCATCAGGGCCAAAAGGAATTGGATACAATTCATGAGGTTTATGAGCAAACCGAAGACAACGACGTTGAGGAATTGGAAATATGGCCCAAAGCTTACGAGGGCCCCACTAATTTCTCCTCCCCTTTGTGATACATGATACATGGGATGGGATCTTGGGTATTTGGATTCGATTACTGCATTAAGTACAAGCGTTGAAACTCTATACCATCTAAACCATTGATGTTGATATTCTTACAAAGGATGTGTCACATATTTTTGGGAAAAATAGCATGAAAAAGAAACTTCTCATGTTGTTCTTCATTTTTATTTTTTTATTGAGTACAGTGGTACAAATATTTTTTTATCTTTGGGATTTTTGAATAATGCTATAATGGATTCAGAAGGCTTTAGTGGTGGGATTTGGTGTCTTTAGAGGGATTATGGTAAAAAAATTCATGTCATAGAGCACAATTCCCAATTTTTTCATTTTCAGATCGATGAACGCAACAGTAATCATTGGTTTCTAACAGTTATGTATGCGAGTCCCAATCCAACAATTCAACTAGGATAATGGTGCGAGTTGACGCGTATTCATTTTAAGAGTTGAGGTCCTTGGGTGTTGGGAGGAGATTTCAATGCAACGTTATATGATGAGAGATGTTCTCAGGCTAGGCATAAATTTTGTAAAGATAAAGATGTTGCCACCTAATTTGAAGAAAATGAGCTTTTTGACTTGGGCTGTCAAGGTCCTTTACACTTGGAAGCGTGGTATTACTGAAGCTACATTGGATCGTTACTTATGCAACCATATTTGGAATCAACGTTTTTCAGATGCTGTGGTTACTCATCTCCCTTACCATCAGCCAATCCTCCTTAACACTTCTTCAGGTGAAGCTTCTTGTAAGGGAAACTGGCCTTTTCGTTTTATTTCCTTGTGGGTGCTCCATGTTTGGCAAGAATGGTGGGAAGAAGGAGATTGGAACAAGAATATCTCTAAATTTGCAACTGCTTGTTCACGCTGGAACGTTACGACTCTTGGTCATATTGAAGCTCGAAAGAGGCAGCTTATGCGGCGACTTGATGGTATTACCAGAGCAATGTCCAGGAGTGGCAATCTTAGCATATTAGGAGAACTTCAGCTGTAGCTTTGGCGAGAAATGAAGGAGGTCTTGGTTCAAGAATCTTTGTTATGGGCTCAGAAAGCTAAGCTAGAATGGAACCTGTATGGAGACCGAAACACTAAGCTCTTTCATGCTCATGCGAATAAACAATGGAAGGTAAACCACATAGATGCTATTTGTAATGGCCAAGGTACGTAGCTCTATGACTGATGAAATCAGGAAGCATGCTACTAATTATTTTGCTTATCTTACCCTCGAGGATTCCCCATCCAGAGAGCCCCTTGCTTGCTCCATAACATTTCCTACAGTGGAGGACGTGTGGCTTAGACTCTGTAGGAAGCAGGTTGATGAGAGGAAAATTAAAAATCCCCTTTTCCAAATGGGCCCACTTAAAACTCCGGGCCCCGACGGATTTAATGTCTAATTTTTTCAACACCTATGGCCTGCAATTAACGGTATTTTTATAGACTTGGTGAAATATTTTCTGAAATCCTGCGAAGTTTTCTGAAATTGACAAGACGTTGCAGTTCTTAAAGAAGCGCCCCCCGAATCATGCAGGGACTTGCCCCCTATTAGTCTCTGTGATGTCATATATAATATTATCACTAAGATTGTGACTAACTGGATTAAATTTCTCCTACCTCAAGTCATTTCTTTGAACCAATGCAGCTTTGTCTCAGGGAGTCACAGTACTGATAATATCATAGTTGCCTAGGAATGGATTCACTCAATGAGAAATATGAAGTGCAAGAAGGGTTCATGGCTATCAAAATTGATATTGAGAAGGCATATAACAATGTAAATTGGGGCTTTTTGCATGCCTGTTTGCGAGAATTGTCTCTCCCTCCTTAGATGATTGAATTGATTCCATGCTATGTATCTACAGCTACATATGCAATTACACTGGAATAAAGAGAAAGCTGAAGTATTTGATCTCCATAGGGGTCCATCAAGGGAATCCTATATCCCCATATCTCTTTATGATTTGTATGGACAGGCTAGCGCACTTGATCCAAGTGAAAAATGAATAAGGAAAATGGATGCCAATTCGGCTTACCAAAATAGGCCCCCCAATGTCTCACGTCTTTTTTTTTTTTTTTTTTGCTGATGATATTATTATTTTTGCATAAGCATCTTTTCAATAGGCTGAAGTGAATCGAGTTTGAACGTTACATATTGCCAAGACTGGAGTTTTCTTTTCCTCTAAAGTGAATCATAATAGGCGTACTGAGTTAAACACCTCATTGGGTTTTGCTCAATCCAGTGACCTTGGCAAATATCTTGGGGTTCCACTGCACCACGAGCGACTTACTAAAGACACCTTTAAAGATGTTGTGGATAGAGTTAAAGCAAAACTAGACAGTTGGAAGGTTAATTCCCTCTCCTTGGCTGGTCGCGGTACTCTCATTTCTTCTATTACAAGTAAGATCCTGAATTATTTAATGCAGGCTTCCTTGTTGCCTGCTAGTAGTTGTGGGGAACTTGATAGATGTAACAATAATTTCTGTTGGTCACAGGAAAATACCGTTGTAGCATGGGGTGACGTCTGTAAAATAGAAGATACGGCGGGTTGGGGCTTTGTCAAGCCCAACTTCAAAACCAAGCCCTTCTTATGAAACTCGGCTGGACAACGGTAAAAACGTTATGCTTTCTGGGTCAAAGTGATTTGCAATAAATACAGCTATGGACATGATTTGATACCTACTATTGACGGGAAACAACGGGGCTCTAAAATTTGGTATGGGATTAAGAAATTCTGGAACAAATTCAGCGAAGGGATACAACCCATTCATGGTCGTGATAACATCTATTGGCAGTAGGAGAAAAATGGGATTTTCTCTATAAAATCTGCCTACCGTGCTATTCAACGAGAGGAAAGTAATGGTGATCCCATCTGGCATAAGGTGTAGAAGCTTAAAATCCCCCAAAGATGCCGATCATTTCTTTGGCTTACTTTAAGAAATAGCTGGCTGACTAGTGCTGCTAGGAAGAAAAGAGGGATGTGTGTTGATGATACTTGCATGTGCTGTGGTCAGGAGGTGGAAGACACCCTTCATGTTCTTAAAGAGTTTTTGAAGAAACTCGACAGCTGTGGAAAAGCATTGTTCAACAAGAAATTTTGAGGAAGCTTTGTCAACTGAACCTCCAAGATTGGATTAAATGGAATTTATCTTCGCAAATAACTGAGACAGATGAAGATTGGGGTGCCCTGTTTGCAATTATGTGCTGGTGGATGGCGAGAAGACGGAACCTATGTATCTTTGAGAATTGTAGGACAGATAATTCTACTATCACTGCCTATGCCAGAGCTATTGTTCGTAGTATGCTTATACCCGCTTGAAGTTCTCTGAGGGTCTAAGAGGTAGAGGGATGCAATTGGACATGGGGAACTGGGCCCCTCCTGAGCTTGGATAGGTAAAATGCAATGTTGACGGCGCTTTTTCTCCCCATTATGCACATGCAGACCGTGGTGGACTACTTCGAGACTCTCATGGACGTTTTCCATGTGGTTACACTTGCAGAATAGAAGATGGGAATAGTATATTCGCTAAGCTATGGGCTTGTACACCTGGTTTGAGACTTGCTTGGGATTCAGGATTTCGAAAGGTTAAGCTTGAGATGGATTCTATGGAGGTACTGGACCTCATTACTGCTAGATGTAGTGTTGAACACAGTGAACATGGGATTGTCATGGAGATTCGATCTCCGCTGCGAGATTGGAGTGTGCGTTTTAATCATGTGATCAGGAGGAAGAATGCTGCTGCATTCTATCTTACGAAGCTGGTTGGAACATCATGCATGGGATCACCTTCCTTCCGACTGCACCTATTGGACTTCATGCCATATTGGCCAGAGACTCAAGTACCGTAAGTCAGGGCATGGGCTAGCTTTCTAGTCTAGGTTTCATCTTTGTATAAATTGTATTAAAAAAAAAGAATAAATGATACTCTCTTTATTAAAAAATCTAAAACATTTTTAACTGAATCTCACCCTCTAAAAAAGTAGTTACCTACTTTCAAACTAATTTTATCTTTTTATATTTATCCCTATTAAATACCTTACAATAAATATAAAATTATTATCAAAAAGATACTTAAAAAAAATAATGATTACATTTTAAAGACTAAAAATGTTTTACATTTTTTAACATTCAACTTTTCAAAAAATGCTTTATATTTTTTAACAGAGGAAATATATATCTTCATACTAGTATAACAAGAGCTGGGAAGGGATGTGACAATATTTTTATGTTATCCACACATATTCTTTTACTAAACGTAATCATATTGATATATGATTAAAATATTAAATATGGATATTTTTCTAATGAGAATTTGAATGTTCACCACATTATTAAGAGCTAACTCTTTCCACTAGACTTAACCCTATTTGTGATGTCATAATGTTTTTTTAATATAAAAGATTGGATGAGTTAGGTTCTGAAAGTTTATCAAGGTAGGACATACAACCAAACTCAAAGAATATTTATAAAGATGTTAATAGATTATTTACTAACAAGGTTCTTCAATTGATTGTGAGATTTGATCTCTTAACTCATGAATTATGAGTTAAATATTTATTAATTTGACCAACTTTTGTTTATAGTGATGTGACAATGTTGAGGAACACAGTAAACATTGGTGCAGGGCCTAGAAAGTTTCTGCTCTTGATTGTGATGGATGGGATTTCGAAGTTAGGCCGCGTTCATTTTGATAAGGTCGGCCCAGTTTAATGGAGAAGTAAGGATTTTGAGGTGCCTTTGGGTTTCCCAGTATCTGACTGTTATAATTGGATGAGCAATGAGCATATCATTGCCAACTGGAAAGGAAAAGGAATAAGGAAGGAACAACGAGGAAGTGATGAAACAATCTCATGGTGCACTCTAATGGGAAAAATAAAGCAAAGACAAGAACGTTAAATTCTGGCCAGTTGGATGGACTATGTTATGGTTGGAGGATCCTTCTCAATCTCCGTATCCCACTTCTGTACGTGTCTCCGAGCTCTCTCCGCCTGCAACAGTACATCCCACGAAACAAATAAGACGATCGACCAAACAAATCTCTCTTGCCATTATCTTAGCATTTCATTTTATTTATTAGAGTTTGTTATCTTCTTCTCAGATTCTTGTGAATTCGTTTTTACCTCTTCGTCCCAATCGCAGCGAAGGATCATGATGCCTAGCAAAAGCGTTTGGGTACCAGTTCCACCCCACAACATTCCGCTCCATATGCCCTGCATTTCACACCCCTTTAACGGTTATTCATATATTCTTCTCATTTTACAAGTAAACACTTCAAATTTATCATAAAAAAATTCAGCAAAAATTAATCATTTGTTTCATATTATTTTAATTCAATTAAAACTCATTCTTTATAATTTTTATTTAGAGTGATATTTAATCCTAAACTTCAACTCGATTCAATTTAATTTCGATAGTCTTAACTATTTAAAATAGTAGTCTCTGTATTATATTTTAAAAAATGAAATATAACAAATGAGTTGTAGTAAATTGATTTTTTTTTTAAAAAAAATTTTAGTTAAGGATCACAACAGTGACTTAAGTTTAGGCAAGCCCAAAAAAATTTTAAAATTTAACTTCTATTCATGAGAGAAAAGTCAAAAAAATTTTGCTAGTACAAAAATCAAAATATCCTTCACTTGTTGTGCAGAATTTATAGTTACTAATTATCTTACTACACTTACTAATTTATCAACATCACTTGTAAATTATATCTGTTTATCAAACAATCAATAACATTAATTGTTAATTTGCTAATTTTATTTATTAATTTACTAATATCAATTATAAATTATAAAACGTGTTGGTAATTACAATTGATGTTAGTAAATTATAAGATATGTCAATAATTTATAACTATTGTTAGTAATTTACAACTGATGTTGCTTATGATTGAAAAATTGGTGTCAAATCTTATATAATTATTGACATATCAACTCATATAATTTTTAAATTATATTCATAAATTAACAAGTGAAATAAAAAAAATTAACAACTAGTAATTCTACGTAACAAATGAAGGGTATTTTCATTTTTTTACCATTGAAATTCTTTTGACTTTTTTTCTTAAATTAAACTTAAAATTTAAAATTTTTTAAACCCACCTAAAATTAAATCACTACAGTAGTCCTCAACTGAAAGTCTTCTCTCTCTCTTTTTTTTTTTTTTTTTGAGAACGTATGATAAATTAAAGTTGAAAAACTAAGCTTTAACTAAGCTAAAAACTAAATATCACTTAATTAAAATTTCAAAAGTGAGTTATACTTGAAACAACGCTATAGAATAAAAATGATTAATTTTTTAATAATAAACATATTGGTAACAGTGATCATGAAAATAACAAGGAGAGAGATGATGACACACCGTGACCCCAAGGCTAAAATACCACCCCAGGAGATACCCAAGAGGGAGGCCGATGAAGTAATAGCAGCCAAGGTTTATGTAAGCCACGTAGGTTTGCCACCCCAATCCCACAGCCACACCTGCATCGCCCCACCACACACACGTGTCATCAAACCACTCTTTCTCTTTCCACACCCACAATAATTCATTAAAATTGTCAGTTCATCACCACCGCCTTTTTGTGTCCAAACAAAGCTCAGTGACGTCATATTTGTCTGCTTCCTCATCATATATCATGTATATGGACGAGAAAGAGTACACGAAGTCGCGTGAGATGTAAACAAAACAAGTTACCGGAGATAACAGGTTGAACGCTGTTGAGAAGGACGGTGAAGGCCAAGAGGAGCTTCAGATCGACCGCTGCTCGGAGAACAGACTCACTGGAAGAGAAGAAGCTGGCGATTTGGTAGTCGAATAACATTATCAAAACCCAGAAAACCACTCCAACGCCCAAAGACGTCAACACTGAAACATTTGTCGCAAACTTCGCTCCCCTTCCATTCCCTGCTCCGAGTTCATTCGCCACCCGAACTCTACCCGTAATCCAAACCAAACGTCAACATCTTCATTAGTCTTTACATTAAGTTTTTCCGTAACCTCGGTGTGTCAGACAATAACTAGCTAGTATTAACAAATAGCTACTGTCAAATGCTCAAACTAAATCTGCTAAGCTACATCCCGCAATACGCGTTTATTATAGATTCCATTAGATCAATTGTTTTTTTTTTCTTTTGGTCTTTTGGCAGCGAGGAAAAGTAAAATAGGGAAAGGTGAGAGAAGTGGGTCATTAATGACCGAATTTTTCTATTTTGGTCCGGAAGTTTCTGAGAACCACGAGACCCTGGGAGAAGAAAAATTGCTAATATGGGAAAAAATACAAACCAATCTTCAGCTGTCAGGAAGAGACTTGTTAATAGCGAAAAGAACAAATAAATGTAAGTATGGAAGGAAGTGCCTACCCCGCAGCTGCAAAGAAAGCCAGTGGAATCATCATCTCCCATCCATTAATAGACATGCTGCCAAACACAACGAGATTGTGATCGTGAGCTTCTCAAATTGATGACACTCCTTTTTTCACCCAATAATAATTATGACTATATTTTCTCTAGAACAAGCTTGAAGTTATACTTAAACATAATTGTTTAAGGAGGTTGCGTACCAGATGGACAGAGCATCTAGAGTAAGCTCTGCGTTCTTCAAAGTTCCAGCTATGAGGATCAAAATTCTGTAGTACCAAGTCTCCAAGCTGTTTAACAAAGGCACGAAAATGATATGGATCAGAACATAATGAACAAATCACTGATAATGTTGGGAGAGAGTTATTTCACAAACTACATAACAAGGCAATTCACTAAACAAACAGTTAACTAGTTTTGACAATTCAAACTCATCAAACATAAATGATGCACCATACCAGAGCATGACCCCAGAAGAAGCAGAGAGCTTGAGAAATTCCCAGAGGCCAGAGAAAGCTTGAATAGAGAAACCAGTCCACGTCAAAGGACACGCACCACAAACGATATAACCCATCAATCCAAACACCAGATTCCACCAAGCCAAGCATAAGGTGATCGTGACACCGATAACTCCGAAGTGGAAGACATAGACGAATAACCAAGTGAGAAACACGTGAAGTCCCAGAGCCACCAGAGAAACCCAAGCAGGAACCACGGTCTTCGTCTGACACTGAAAGAATCTCTGCAACGGGAACACTAAAGCGAAACAAAAGTGGAGCGGGATCATCCAATTGGCCACGACGCCGGTGAGCTCAGACACCGATGTGGGCTCCCCAAAGAACTTCAAGATCGGAGAAGCGAACAGAAACAGAGGTAATGAGATAATGCAGCATAGCGTTAACACAACCCACGATCGTTGCATGTAAACGCCCAACATATGGTACTTCTTAGCCCCGAACGCTTGCCCGCAAAGAGTTTCCAATGCGCTGGCCATTCCCAACTGAATCATTCACAGAAAGATTTGATCTTTAGATATGCTAAGAAAACAGAGGAGGAGGAGAGCAGAGGAAAGGAAGAAGTGAAGGTACCAGCAAGCCGAAATCCAAGCCCATGATGACGTTGTAGCCGATGGAAATGGCGGCGAGCTCGAGATCGCCGATGTGGCCGGCGTAGGCCTGGGAGACGACGATCATGGAATAGGAAGCCATACGGAAGACGATGGTGGGGCCTACAATCTTCCAGAGCTTCTTGGATTCGTGCAAGGTCTGAGACGTGAGTGATTCATGAGGGAGATGGTCTTCTTCGTCCACCGCTTGGACTATTTGGGTATCGCAGGAAGCAGAAGGAGTGTGTCGCAGTAATGGAAGCTTGGCTTCTTGTTCAAATGTGTCATCTCTGCTCGAAGTAGAGGACATCCTTCTAGTTTTTTCTTTTTTTGTCTCAACGGTCTCCGTCCGAATTCCGATCACTGAATCTTGCAGATCGATGTTCTGCGTCAGAAAGTATGCGCCCCCGAGGTATTCCTCACATTTGTGGGTCGTCATTGGTGTTTGTATTTATACATGTATATAATTTTAATCAGAATTAAAAAGTAAAATTGAAAAGCAAAATAAAAAATAAGGTGAAATCGTGATATTATAAAAAAATATATCCTAACACTCATATTATATATTAAAATTAATTATAAATTTAAAATCATGTTTTTAAAGAAAAAATTTAAACATCTATTATACACGTTAAAATTAATTATAAATTTAAAATTATAATTTTCTTTAAAATATTTAAATACTCTTATATATATCAAAATCAATTATAAATTTAAAATTATAATTACCTCATAAGCTGTTACTGTTACATGATTTTCAATTCAAGTTTTTTTAATTATATATTTCTAAAATTTTATTTAAAAATAATATAAATTATTTTATAAATTATATTTTTTAGTTCGTAATTAATTTTGATATTATAAAGGTGTTTCAATATTTTAAAAAAAAATTATAATTTTAAATTTATAATTAATTTTAGTATGTATAATGAGTGTTTTGCTATTTTTTTTTTAAAAATATAATTTTAAATTTATAATTAATTTTAACAAGTGTTTAAACTATGTTTACTAAAATGTCAGTACAATTAATTAATTTTGAACTAGAATTCACACAAGCACTAGATTGGTGTGGCTTAGATTTGCGAGGCTGATTGTAGACCTGCCTGCTGCAATGCTGCGTGCCGGCCTAACATGCACAGCTTGAGACGTGGTGTATAATTTTAGAGATTTTTTAAAAATATATATATCTACAACTATATAGCTTGATGAGCTCAATTTTAAATTTTTTTTATGAGTTAAATCTGAATGACTCATTAAAAATCAAATATATTTACATATCCCCTACTAATAAGGTTAAGAGATTTGAACCTATAGTTAGAGGTCAAATCCTTATACCAACTAAACTAATCATTGTTAGTAATTAAAAAAAATGACTATGTAAAGGTTTACAATTTTTTTTAGGAAGAATTGTATTGAAATAATTACTAGACTTTATAATAATTTTTTTTTTTGGTGAGACCTGAGTATAACACCTTTTTTTTAGCGCTAAAGTTTCAGTTTATTTTAAGTTTAACAAAATAATTATTTTTTTGATTACTCATGCATTCTCTTATTAAAAATAATAGTATTCAAGATATAATCATACGCTAAATACAGCAACCTCTTGATTCAAACATTGTGCGTGATTTATTGTTCTGAATATATATATATATATATATATATATGTTTGATTATTTAATAAGTTAATTTATTTGCTGAATATTAATAATTGAAGCGTTAATTTATTTTCGTTTTATAATTTATTATGATTGTAACATATACCAAATCCATTTATTAATTATTTCAACATTCATGATGATAAACAAAAATATATAATATTATTGTTGACTTTTGTTGTTTTTTAAGAGTTTAAATCTTAAGCCTTGCCCATACGCCGCCCATCCTTCATGTATACGAGCTAGTATTATAGTTTTGACGTTTTGTTGATTGTTATTTTTTATAGAGTTAAAAGAGCAATAATATTTTAAAACTTTTTTTTCCTAAAAACTTCTGGTACCATAAATTTTTGTGGAGTGTTTTTGCTCCAAAAATTTTAAAAAGAAAGCATTTCACCCACAATTAAATATTAAAAATGTTGGCCATTAAAATAAAGTTTGACTAAAGGTATTTTTATATTTTGCTCTCATTCCTTACGTGTTCAGTCTCTATTTTTATTTTTCGGTAAATTCTTTAACTTTTTTGGCTCTAACAAGCAGCTAAGCTCAAAGTCTTGGAACCATTTGATGCAACTCTTAAGCTTTCTTTTATAGTTCACCATATCTTCACACCTTTCTTAGAGAAACCCAAAAAGAGAGTGGGGAGGGAAGGCATGAGTCGACAAAGAGATCATTGTGTAGAGATTAGAGCATTAACTTTAACTTTGTTTAGCGTGAGAAGAATAAGATGGCTAATTATCTAACGAAGTTGGCTCATAGTATTTTTTGTAATTTTATACTTTTTGACCAACCACATTTTCGTTTAGGTTTTGAATTGTTGCCATTTTCTTTTTGGTGAATTTTAGTAGTTTCTATTTTTTTTTGTTGGTGTTTGCACCCTTTGTTTGTTCTTTTTGAATGAAGGTTCCTACTGAATTAATCAAAAAAAAAATCCCAGAAAACTCAATCAACAGGGCTCCTTCTCCATCATACAGCGGTCGGCTCCTCAAAACACCAGGATGACAATCTCCTCTTCAATCATGCACAACAATATCACGAGGGAAGTACTGTCGAGATTAGAAGAAGAATAGTGACTGAAAATTCAGAATTTAATTAATTTGCATCATAAAACAAGATCTAATTACTGAAAATTATAATCATACCTCCACATGATGAGAATTAGTGTACCAAACTCTCTGAATATCAAGTTCGAGCGCATTTAAGGCAAGAAGCTTGGTGTTTAAAAAAGAGTTATATGTTGGTGCTTTTGCCCACTTCCATAATTTGGCCATTGAATTATGGTGATGTTATGGCTGAGAGTGATCATTTTGTCAGAACTCCCGAAAACTGAACTTGATTAATACTTTGTTGGGGCCACTAATTGAATTTCAAATTTTGATTTAATTCCAATTGGACAAACTTGAGGGAACGTAGGGGGTTTTAATTTCCCGAATAATCCGGAATGAGTTTCAGGACCTTGACTTTGTCTATATTCAAACCCTTAGCATCACATGTGAACACGTGACAGCAAAGCCATGTTTGGGTGTTTCCCAATTTGGAATGTCATTACTCTCTGATGATCCAGGTCTCCTGATTAAAAAAATAATTAAAATAATAATCACTCTAGTATTTCACAGCGGGAGAGCCATCTAGATCGTACTCTTTTATTATCATTATTATAATAATTTCTTTGACAATAGTATTATTTGACTTTAAGTACGCCCGTTACATCTCGAGATTTGATTTTGAGTATCGATTAGCGAAGTATTTAATTGAATTTCTAAAGATAAAGCTAAAATTACTCTTATAGACCCCACTATTAATTAATATAAATATATCCCAATGTATTTACTTTAATAGATGGTCATAATATTATGCACAAGCTCATTCTTAGTTTTACTTTAGGATATTTTATTTATTAGTTTTTTAGAGATTTAATTACATACTCCACAAATCAATACTCAAAATCAAATCTTGGGATGTGACAACGTCTATGTTTTTCATAGTTTCACACAAAAACAGTTACTAAATCCTCATTTGGTTTTATTTTTTTTTTTTTTTGAAACTACTTTGCAAAAAAATTATTAAAAATTACTTTTCAAAAAAAAAAACAAAATGAAACTATGTTTATTATGTTAATTTTGAAAATACTTTTAGAATTTAAAAAATGACTGATAATGGTAGTTTTCAGTTGTCAATGTTAATAATTTAATGGTCTATATAACAGTTGGCCATAACTAAAGATAATTTACAATAGCCAAACATATTATGTGTAACATCTTAAATTTTATTTGGGAATTTAATTGTGTAAGTTGTGGATAATTGAGAAAATTTAATTTGAGAAATTATTTTTAAATGAGGAAATATATATATATATATATATATACTTAAAGATTTAATTGAGGTAATGCGTGTATTTGAGTATGTAATTGAAGAAACATGTATTTTATGTTAATTAAGGTTTATGGATGTTAATTATTTATTTAGACACTTAATTATCATTTAAATTAGGCCTAAGAAAATGAATTATGATTATTTGGGGTCCAAAATAGAAATTAGGCTTGATTGGGCCAAAGGTGTGGGTTTGGGCTATTTTGACGTGGTCCGCTGGTGGAGCAGCTTCGCACAGGGCTTGACCGTGTGGGGACAATGATAAAGGCGGAGGATTGTTTTAATGCGGCGTCTCCATGCGCGAACAGAATTAGCACTGTCACGACTGCACACGGATAGGCAAAATTATATCAGTCTTTGGTTTGCATTTCAAAGCAGAACGTGCGAGAGGAAGAGGAAAAACAGAGAGCGCTTCATCTTGGCTCTGCTAGGCCTTGATTGTTTGGTGCCTTGGAGCTAAATTTGAGCCTTACAACTCTTTGAGATAACTTTTTAGCCTTTTCCTCTATCATTCTATCTAGTTTTATTTGGATTTGAGGTTGATTTTCTGATTAGGGTTTTCCTACGGATAGGAAATCCAAAATTATGATGGTTAAATATAATTGTTGATGTTGTTTGGGGTATAATAAAAGTTGTAGAAAAAAAAAATTAGATTGATTTTTGAATTTAAAGATTATGGGTTTAACCTTAAGCCTATGTTGTGGAGTCTCTGAATAAATTCAAACTTTTGGGATGTTTTCTAATGAATAGATATTTGTTTGAGTATGGATATATAAATATTTCTAAGGATTTGGAATGTTAATTCAAGGATTGAGAATAATTTTTTATTTTTAGATATTTTTGGATGAGTTTATGAAAAAAGGAAGGATGATAATTATGATATTACAAGTAATTTAGAAAGTTAATTATAGTTTATTAGTGTATGAAAATTTAAAAAAGAAGTGCTATGTCAAACTTGACTTGAGGGCGAGTTTCATGTAATCCAAGGAGAATGAAACAGAATAAAGCCAACTACAACACATTAGCACTGCCGTTGCTCCATTAACATAGCCTTCTCACATTTGTTTTCTCTGAACGTTCAGCTCAATAATAAGAATTAATCCCTTTTAATTTCAATTGCAATCTCCTCCCTATCCTAGAGCTCTTTTCCTATTATTATGGTTTCTATACCAAATAGGAAGCAATTGCCCACAAATAGGTGGAGAGTTTATATATAAAAAAAAAAGCAAAAAGTCACTACATTTTAATTCAAAACTTTAAGATTCAAGTATATGAGTCCTTTTTCTTTATTAATTATGTATTAGTTATTAAGTTTAACTTTATTTGATATGAGACTTCTCACATCGACTTAAGTCCACTTACACTTAGGCAACCTAATAATCTTACCTTCAAATGTGAATTGACAAACTCCCCATATTAAAGACACCATAAACACTAAGTCCTTACTTTTAAGACCAACCCAATTTTGAGTTTCAAACAGTGTGACGCATACAAGTTCTTATTGTAGCTAAGGCTAGTCCCATTTATTAGGCTTTAAATATGTGCAATAACAAGCTTATAAGTTCAGGCAAAACTTGCTATTGTTAGAAATGAGAAATGATCACCACGAAAATGAAATACAGGTAAAAGTAGTGAAAGACATTACATCTTAACTCAAATAGGTGGTGTCTTTCATTAATCTTGCCTACTTCTTCTCTCCCCTCATTTCTAGGTAGTCCCTCCCTATTCCTAATAATATAAACTAAATTAAGCCTTTAAAGTTTAAAATACTCTCTCCGTTAAAAAAATGTAAGGCATTTTTTGAAGAGTCGAATGTTTAAAAATATAAAGCATTTTTAGTATTTTAAGGTGTAATCATTACCTTTTTTTTTTCAAAAGTGCCCCTATTAATAATGACTTTATATTTACTGTAAAGTATTTAATATGAGTAAATATAAAAAGATAAGGTTAGTTTAAAAGTAGGTAACTACTTTACTAAAAAATAAAATTCAATTAAAAATGCCTTATATTTTTAAACGGAGGAGTATGTATTTATACTTTAAAATTAGAATTATGCCACTAATTATTTTAAATTTTAGAACATTTTAATTTGTATTATAATATATATATATATATATATATATATATGTAATAAATTATATTATAAAACATATATATGTAATAAATTATTAAACCTGATCAATAAAAATCAGGTTTAAATAAATTATTAATTTTAGGATAAACAGGTTTGTCTAGGCGCATATGGGTCTAACCCACATGTTTCTTAGCTCAATCTGGTGCGCGTGCGCAAGTGGATTGTAAATATGTAATATGATTCCTCGAAAAAAAAAATTATACAAATATTGTATTCATATTTTCAATCATATCAAATTAAAATTATATTGAATTAGAGGGCAATTAATAATGCAAGGAAAGTGTAAATCTTTAACAGCGCTTTACCAAGGTCTCGAATTATCCACTCAAACTGAGTCGGCTCCCTCCCATACATTTCGAGGCATGCAATGAACAAACAGTAATTTCCTAATTAAGCTCACTTGGCAGGAATGACTTGTTATTGATTTTTTTTTTCTTTTTTTCCCCCCCGTTCAAAAGAATCATCATTAATGAATTTGCCCCAGCATTCAATATATAATCAATTGTAAAGTCGTAAACAAAATCTCAGAAAAGCTCATGCTTATAATAAAGTGACCTCCAAAATACAAATAATGTTCAATTATTTTACTGGACATCAGTTATTGTGCAAACTAAACTCCAAAATTAAAGCTCCAACAATTATTCCCCTAATCAACGTAACCACGTAAAGCAAAAACATTCAATCGATAAGGCAAATACCTTATTTCTAATATAATTCAAACTACAGACGATCGAAGAAGCAGATCATCAGGCGCAGCAGCTCCTCCATGCAACAACTGTAAGATTTATAGAACAATAGTCAAATCAAAGAAAACTAAGGACTTGTTTTTTTTTTGTTTTTAAATACTTTTTTTTATTTTTGAAAACAGAAAAAACTAAAAACTTATTTGATTATGTGTTTTTTATGTAATTTTTTTTCATTTGAGTTGTTTTGTTTTGTTTTTCTTATTTTGAAAATGGCTAAAATGTATAAAATCTCTAAATTTTTAGATAGTTATATATGACATTTCTCACATTTAAAAATTTAAAATTAATCCCCTTAACTTTTAATTTTATTTTTTAAAACCCCTACTATTAATTATATTATTTTTTCATAAGAGTTGAAATGTCATTTAACTACAAAATACTATTAAACAAAAATATTATATTATAAAACTATTTATAATCAATTTTTTATATGTTTTTTGAACAGTTGAGGCACTGATAGCTAAAAAATGTTACTATCATTATATAAAATTTTAAATATTTAAATTATATTATTTTTATTCATGTTTTTTTTAATCAATGGTGCATAGTTTATTATTTGAAAGAATAAATTTTTATTTATATTTTCAAGTTAGATTAATGTAATGCACATGGTTAAAATATTTAAAATTTTAACCATTAATAGGTTAGATTAATTTATCCTTTAATGTAACAAAAATATACAGAATTCATAACAAAAAAATGAAAAAAATTAATACAAAATTAATTACATATTTAAACTTTTATATGGTGATGATAATAATTTTATTTTTTTTGCTCTCATTGCCTCAACTATCCAAAAATATAAAAAAAAATTGATTAGCCATAATTCTACAATATAATATCTTGTTTAGTAACATTTTATTAGTTAAATAACATTTTAACCCTTATAAAAAAATAATATAATTAACAGTCGGGGTTTTAAAAAATAAAATTAAAGATTAGGGAGGTTAATTTTAAACGTTTAAATATGAAAAGGATCATATACAACTATTTTAAAGTTAAGGGAGGTTTTATGCTTTTTAACTCTTTAAAATACACTATATTTAATTATTAAAAATGATAGTTAATTTGACCAATTTTTGTTATTAGTTATCATTATTAATTGCTTATGATTATCACTATTAGTTCATTTTTTAATTGATATAACTAAATGAATTTTTATTTTATTTTGTTTTGAAGAACAAATTTTAAAATTGTATTGCAAAACAGTTTTTAAAAACAAAAAATAAAAATAAAGAATAACTGTTTTTTAATCAAAATTCTTTGAAATGAAGAAAACCATAACATGCGTTTTCAATGTCTGCTAAAAACATACATGCAGCATATAATCGTTTTGGATTGCTTTAGCTTTATAAGTAGATTAAAAAATAATCAAGAAGTTCAATTAAATATTTTCAGGTAAAAAATAGCTTTTGCAAGTTATTTTCCCTTCGCAGTGGAGGGGACCAATTCTCTGGGAAAGATCAAATTTTGTAATTTTGGTAAACAAAGAATAAGCGAGATGCAATTATCATCAATTAATTCACTAACTAGCTTGCAGAAAAAATAAAAGGCGTTGCAGAAATGAGGAATGAAGACGAATGCTAATTACCTTCTAAGTTGAAAATCTAGCATTCCATCTGCGCAATTTGGCCATGTTTATAGCAACCACCACATACACTTTGTCATACGCATCATTCATTAATTTAAAATAAGCATATCTCCATGATTTGTTGAGAATTAGTAAGCTGCAAACCCCTGAAAATCCTGTACTGAATCCAAGTGACAAACTAATATAAAAACCTTGATTGAAGAATTGTTCATCATCTTTGGAATTTCCATCATCTTGATTATCTTGTGTTGGCTTTTTGGGACATTTTGGAAGGGGAGCGCCACAGAGTCCTACATTTCCCACATAAGCAGAGGGATCAAAGGATTGAAGTTGAGTGCCGATTGGAATTTCTCCAGATAAATTGTTGTATGATAAGTTCATCACACTGAGACGATCTATTTGTGAAAGTTCCGAAGGAATTCTTCCAAATAAGTGATTCCTTGATAGATCAAGAAAGTCCAATGATTTCAATTGTCCAATAGCTGTAGGGATTTGTCCACTGATCATATTTGCTGAAATGTTTAAGGAAACTAATCCCACGAGATCCATCAACTCACTAGGAATTTCTCCTGTTAGCATGTTTCTAGATACATCAATACTTTTAACCAATCCCAATATGTTTTGGTATTTGGACTCCCTACCTTTCCATATCAATGATGCAATATCTACGACAAAAATGGAGTCCCGATCGTAGATAGAGAATGGAAGATAATAGATGATGGTTGCATCAGAATTTGTTCTATTAGCTAGAGCAGAAAGATGATTGAGGCATTTTGGCAAACTTCCAGAAATATTGTTCACAGAGAGATCTAGGATTTGAACTTGAAATAGATGACAAATAGTAGAGGGCAAGGTCCCAGAAAACATATTAGATCTCAAAATCAGAACACGCAACTTCTGAAATTCACTGCCAATCCAACTTGGTATTGATCCCGAAAAGTTATTTTGGACAATATCAAAAGTTGTTAGCTCCGTGCATCCATTCAAAAACGAAGGTAGTTCACCTGTGAATCTATTATAACCCAAATGTAATGCTTGGAGATTTCTTAAGGACCCCATTGATGTTGGAAGTTTTCCAAAAAGACTATTATTTGCAACATTAAGAACAACCAATGATTCAAAATGTGTCCAACAATCTGGAAGTGTTCCAAATAATTGATTGTTTGAAAGATCTAAAACATGTAATAATGTGGTCATCTTCGGACATAAAATGGAGCTTGCATCAGTAAACTTGTTGTTGGATAGATACAAGGTTATTTTTATATATGATAGAGTTGATGGAATGGAGCCTTCAAACAAATTTGAGCTGAAATCCATATGAAAAGCATATGAGAATTGAAAATCTGGAATTTCACCGGTAAATTGGTTGTGTGAAATGTTCAACAATTTAAATGGCAAATTCCAAAACCAACTTGGAATTGTTCCAGAAATTTCAGCACTTGAAATATCTAAATCAACACATGATGTTTGGGTTTGAAGCCACATCGGAAAGTCGGGGCCCAACTTACATGATGCTAACAAAATGTATGCTAACCGGAAAGGGGGAACCCAGTCAGGACTTATTTGAAAAATAAAATGATTGAAAGAGAAGTCTAAGACGAATAGTTGAGAGAGTCTCAAGAAATGATTTTCAGATATGACCCCTTCCAAGGAATTATGCTTAATGCTCAACTCTGTTAAGCTTGACAACAATCCAATGCTATCATCTAGAGTTCCATTTAGCTGATTGTGATCAAGATACAAACGTTGCAGAGACAAGAGTTGTGAAAAATCAGGTAGTGGCCCTGAAAATTGGTTGCCAGATAAATCCAAGGCTTGTAATGAATTGTTACCACAGTAGTTGAATGATGCAACAAAGTCATCTATTTTACCACTCAAGGAGTTCTCGGACAGATCAAGTTCATTTAAATTGCATAAAGCTAAGGATTTGGGTGTGCCACCTTCAAGCTGGTTTTCTCTAAGCAGTAGTTTTTGTAAGGACAAATCTCCCAATTCATGAGGTATTTTTCCTTCCAAATTTGTGTATGAGAGATCAAGATCTTCCAGTTTCTTTAAAGAAATAATGGAGCTTGGGAATTGAGTTAGGTTGAAATTATTGGCCCTAAGATACAAATATGTCAACTGATGTAATTCAGCCAACGATGGAGCGAGCGTACCTTCCAATTCGCAGAAAGAGAGATCAAGTCCAACTACATGACCAGTTAGGCTGTCACAGTGAACACCTGTCCAGTTGCAACATTCTTTCTGATTCTCGCCATAACCCCAAGAGGAAAGGTTGCCATAGCGATCGATAAAACCCTGCTTGAGAGAGAGAAGTGAGAGTCTTTCCTTCTCTATGCACCTCACATAAACGTTGCCACCAACGGCACATGTCCCTGACAAAAGCAACAAAAGCACAATAGAAACAAGAACGAGAAACCTTACGTTCATCGTCATTCAAATCTCAACGTGAGAGAGCAACGTAACGGAAAACAGAAGTATTTAATAGGCAACGAGAGGCCTAAACCGTCATCTTCTCTTAATTTTTTTTTTCTTTTTGTTTTTTTTTCTTGGTAAAGTCATCTTCCCTCAATTAAGTCCTGACTAACTTGCAATTTTATCCATTGACTTTGGATTGGAAATTTCCACGCGGCACGACTTTTCGGATTGGAAGAGATGAAGAGCCCAAGTTTGTCTCCCGTGGTAGGGTCCTTGTGTTTGCTATAAACTTTGCTTTATAGCATTGACTTGGAAAGACTATAAACGTATAAAATGATGTCATAGACTTACATCTGAAATTCCGATCGAATTAAATGGTTCTATACTACTCCATTTTAAATGATTTTATAAATTTCATTTTGTACGCTTCGCTTTTCGCTTAGAAAGAAAGAACTACTCTAAAGACTTATATTTTATAGATTTTAAAAAGGAAGGATGACATTTAAGACTATCTCTAGAGAATTTATTCGGCATTGCATGAGATATTGTCTTATAAAAACATTCATATCTTGTTATTAAAATATAAATCTTAACTTATTAAATTTATAAGGAAACCTTAACAAAAAAATATAAGTTAAAATCCAACTTTTAATAACAATATTTACATATTTTCACAAGATAATAACTGATGTAAAACTTATGAATCTATTATGATAAATTTCCATAAGAGAGTCTTAAATGTCATAATCACTTTTAAAAATTGACATTTTTCTTTTGTGGGTAAAGATCTTAAGAAGAGAGCAGGAGTGACGTCGTGCCCTACCAAATCCCAACAAAAAAATTGTTTAAATATATTATAAAGATAATGAAACTTTTTATCCTTCAAATTTATTTCAATTATCAATTTAATTTTTTAAGTTTAATATTTATAATTTTAGTCCATCATGTTTTTTAAATTATTGTGTTAATTCTTATAGTTTTAAAGCAAAAAATAACTCTCAAATTAATCTAATATATAAATATATTGATGATTTATCATATATATATAATTAAATAAAAATAAATTAACTCAAATTAGTTTAATTTTTATTAAGTTAATCCCTTACACTATGATATGCTCTTTTGTTTTTTTTTTAAATTTTCAAGTCTTTTTTAACCTAAATAATTCTTTTTTTTTTTAATTTACATGGCTGCTATAAATATTTCCTTATCCATGTCAATAAATTATAATAATGTCACCCCATTTTTAAAAAATATAAGCCAAATCCTTAAAAATTAAATTTGAGGGATTAAAATTTTTTATCATCCATAAAGCATATTAATTACCTTTGATATTTTGCAAGAAAATTTCCCTATCGAGTTGCAGGATTCTATAATTATAATATTAATATGATTTCATATAACAAATTTCAAATTAATATAAATTCATAAACACTTTTTTAGAAATAAGGTTAAAAATTAAAGTAAAAAATTATCTAGAGGACATCAACATATAGATTGTTGGTGAATAAAAAAATTCAGTGTGGGGCTCCATATCATGTACATACAAACACATTTAGTAAACAAGACACAATTTCAAAAGGATTGCAAGAAATTGCTATTTAGAACTCAATGTCAAAAAGCAAATTAGTGCACATCGTATCAAGAAATTCATTGAGTATCAGGATGTGACGAGAACAAACGTGCTCAAGCAAAGCTTCTTTTTATTGAGATTCAGCAAATAAGTTTTTCAATACATTGTGTTGAGATTTTCTTCCTCCTCTAGTCCCTTTGCCAAAGCTTTTCAATTTGGGTCCTTTGTTAATAAAAAGGAAACATTAGAATCATAAACTTCATAATGCGTACATGATTTTAATTGGCTTATCAAAAGTGCATGCAATATCAACAATTGGACTCGAGGGAGGTGACCAGAATTTTCTTCTTGAAAGAGTCTATCTTCGATACAATACAAGAAGATTTCTTGGCTGTGAGCTGGCTTCAACAATTGCATAAATTCTACCATTTCTAGCTTCAGACTTGCCCAGTTAAAACTTATTTGGGAAAATTACATTCAAACCATATCCAGAATGTGCTTTTACCAAATTTAATAAATAGTTAAATTCCCAGATAAACTTTTTTCAGATATAAATTGAAAACCAAAAATGCATTTAAACAAGAACAAAAGACCATTCTGTCATTCTCGATTGACCAATCGTACTCTGCCAATCGTCAAAATTTTGGAATAAATTGGGTTCCACGATCAAGAATAGCCTGGCTCAAGATAGAATTATAATAGGAAGACCAATGAGGATTGATCCTAGTGGGAGAGGTTATAACTACTTAAGCATGATGTCTTAAGTTTAAATCCATATAAATGTGTAAAATGCCCATGAAAGAACTACTCTCTCAATGGGATAATCAAAACCTAATTACGTTTATTTCTTAAACTACTTATTTATAAGCACTATACTACCACTTCTCCTAATCAGCCCAACTCCTAAGAAACTTCTTTTTATCTATTACAATATCATATCAAAAAACACAGTATAAAAATTTAGATTAACCCACCGAATTGAACAGATAAACTATTAAATCAATATTTTAACTAATTTAATAAAATATTTTGTTTATAACCAATTTGATTATGATTTAATTATAATTTTAATCATTTTTTCTTAAATTAATGTCCTGACGAAAACAGGCCATGTAAATATATTTTTCCCACTGAAATCTGTCCTCATTGTTTCCACTTTCCAGTTCCAACAACCCAAGGAGAGAATAATTCAAGCCCCTCGTTTTTATTCTGCAACATCTTCCCCAATTCCATTCTTCCTCGAATGACATTTAACTCCAGTTATTTCTTAAATGGGAGCATACTTTTTAAAGGACAAAAATAATATACTACACTTCATATACTTAATATACTTTTATTTAATTAAATGAAAAACATGTAAATTTTAATACATTAATAATATCAATGACAAAAGCTTGTTATAAATTCAATAATCTATAAAAAATAAACATCTTAATTTAATTTAAAACAAATACATTAAGTATATAAGATTAAGTACATAAATTTTCTTCTTTTCTAAAGTTTTAAATAAATAATATAAAATCGAGTCAAAAATAAATGATGTGACAAAGGGATGGGACCAGAAAACAATGACGAAAGTTGGGACAAGGGAAAAAAAAAGGAAAAATAAGAAAAAGAAAATGATTCATTATTTAATGTAATGTGTGTTAGATTTTCATCAAAACTCTATCTGTCAAAAATTCATTTAAAAAAATAAATTCAATTAAAATCAACTGCTGTAGCAACATTTTTATTTGAATATACTTTTTCCAAAGTCAATTAAGTAAACTAAAAATTATTTAACTTAATAATAATTTATATTTTAAAATGTGCATCTAAATATACAATAACAAAAAAAACACATTAATTTATGATAATTTCTAATTCTTGTTATACAAATAGAATATATTAAAAATGCTTAAAAACTGTGAAAAAACTAAAATAAAATAAAATTTAATATGTTAAATAAAAGGAATAAAAATATAAAATTTAATATGTTGGAAAAATCATATGATAAATAGTTCCAATACATTGACATTGAAAATTAACACAAGTCAAAAAATATATATGATACTTTTTTTTATTCAAAAAAATTTAACCAAGAAGAGAACTCTGCTATAATTCTCTCATTTTTCCCAGTCATTGCCCCACCATCTGAGAGCTTCAGTCTTGCACTCGAGATCATCAAAAAGGTTGGCAATGTAACATCGGGATATTTAACCAATACAACAAAAATAACAGCAAGGTGGCCATTAAACGCACCGAGGAACGGCGAAATAATCTTGGCTTCAATGTACCAACGAACAACCCACCTAGAAGAGGAAAGCTAACTGCGAATTAACAATCAACATATTGGCTCCCAATCTAACATACTACACGCAAAACTGTGTGCTATGGGAAAGAAAATTTTCTATTCAAGTAAGAACAATCAACATATTGGCCCCCACAACTAGAGCAAATATAACTATACAGTTGTATGGTAATGCAACGGCAGAAAATATAGCTCATACTGTCAGAACGACTAGTCGTCTTCGTAACCCAGGACTTGTGCCTTGAGCTCCTCTATTTTCATGGCCAGCTCATCCCTATTTTTCTGCAAGTTAATAAATCTAATTAATCCCATTTATCTAAGTTGTCAAACAAATATCAGATGAAAAACCAAAATAGGTACCTTGAAGAGAAGATAACGGGAAGTGAACCATAGAGTATATGCAAGGCCCACTACTTCCAGCAACTTGGGAATCTGATGCCCCAATGACGGAGAAAATAAAAAAAACAAGAGTTGGCATCCATATATATTTTTAGTGCTTGAAAGAAAGACATAATAAAAAAAACAAATACAAACCAATGGGATAGAATCAATAGCACCAACAACAGCCGACGTTAGCCACAAGGCAATTACAGCACCACCACCATACAAGATAATAGAACCCGTATCATCTAAGTCAAACTGTAATAAGAGAAAGGAATTAAACTTAGGTTAATAGCATAGCCCGTGTATTCAAATTCATAATAATGGCAAGTGAGCCGGTTCATGACAAGGGCATGAAGGTAGGGCAACAAAAAGGACTTGTACCGAAGGCGCAAACTGCCTTTAAACTAACTGATCAATGTATTCAAAGAACTAAATTCAAAACCGTTTAAAATTTTGCCAAACCTAATCGCACTACATGCTCACTTCCTTATAGCTAGCTAGTTAAATAGAAAAGGATAAAAGCTATGAGGGATGGATAAGACATTACAGAGGATGGCACGAACATTGGTAAATCAGCAAATGCTGCAACCAGTGCAGGCTTGTAAAGGAAAATGAGCACACAAGGTTTGAATATTAAAATCAAGGTTAGTACCTCATTAATCAGTAGGAACACAACTAAATGAAAAATGCGTAGAAATGCTAGAGATGATTGAAGAGATGTTGTGATATCTTAATAGTGCAGCCAATACCAATAATAAAGCATATAATAGAAGCAAAAAGAGGGGAAAATAAAGAAAATGAAAGACCAAGAAATACAAAGGCTCCAATGCATACCAATAGTTTAGACAAAATTTGGCAAACCAAGCGGGAAGAATGGATCAAAAAGAATAAAAGTTTCCATTCAAAGTTAAGTAAAATCCTCAAAACTGCAATGATAACAGAGACAGGACAAAACAAGTGAACATGTAGAGTTGCTCAGGTAACCGCTCAGGCTTGACATGACAGTCAAAATCTCATGAAGCATCCTATGAATGCCATCAATGATCTTTACAGTCATCACAGCAACTAAATTTGGAAATAGCTCCATATAACTACATAAATGAATACATCTGCAGGACAGACAATTTACGGTTCAATGCAAGGGAACATGCAAGTGCAAAAACATAAGAAGAGATTAAAACAATTCTACAAAACAAAGTTGAATTCTTTTCCAAAGGCAGAACCAACAATACTGGAGGAAAAACCATGCATATGATTTAAAAATTCCTCATTGCAATTACAGGTGCAGGTTCAAATTCACCAAATCTGCAAACTATTCAAGAAAGGGGGAGGTGAAACCATGTGAAGTTGCTCAGGTAACCGCTCAGGTTCGGCATTACTGCCGAAGTCTCATCAGACATTCTACAAATGCCATCAATCATGAATAGGGTCATCACAGCAACTCAATTTAGAGTTTTGAAGTTCAAAATGAGTAAATAAATACTCTGTCGTATGATTGATTCAATGTTCAATTCAAGAGGCACAAATTAAACAACAAATAACACGACTAAGAGGGGGGATATGTACAAAGTAAATTTGAATTGTTTTCCAGATAAAAGACAAAATATTATTTGAAAAATGATTTCAAAAATGAGGATGCAATCACAATTTTAATGGTTACAAGTTCAAATATGTCAAAACTGAAATCAGACCAAAGGGGAACAAGGGATCAACCCATGTGAGGTTGCTGAACAATTTGTAGATTCTCATGGCGACCCAATTTGTACATGGCTCTATAAGTCACGAAATGCATTATGCATATTTAGGATCAACAAATTAATACTCTGAGCATAGTTCACATTTTAAACTATAAATGAAATAGCTATTTGAAATTGAATAGAGAAAAACGTACAGAATGTATATTTTCAGGGAGAAAAGATTAAATAAATGGTGCAAATATCAAGCCTAGAAAAGCTGCACTTAACCATTCGAGTATCAGTTAGACTCCCTTAAAGACACCAAATACAAAAACCAAAGACCACCGCAAAACATCTTGTACCACATAGGTTCCAAGAGCTATGAAGAAATTTTTAAGATGAAATATGAATTTAAATCATTTTCATGAAATACGGATTCATACAGCTTTCAAAGGACATTACAAAGCAGGAAAGACATCCAGTTGAGACTGCATGGGATTAACAGAGACAGGCAACAGAGCATATAGCATTAATATCTTGAACCGGATAATTAAGCAATAAATCACTTCTTGCAGATAAGAAAGCACCAAAATTGCAGTCACTGGTGTGTATGAACGTGACATGGGTTACTAACATCAAACAATAATGAAGAAATGTAATTCCAGCAACCTTTATACTATCAAGCTTCTCAGCAAAATCAAATGGCTGCGCAGACTCATGCACGGGTGATTCTTCTTTTGTTTCTTCATCTGCAACATTTCCACTGAATGCATTATTTTCGGTTGTTCTAACATCCTCCATAATTATTGCACGGTCTGGTTTCTCATTAAAATATTGGCTTGGCCCACCAGATGTTTCATCCGATAATTTTGCCCTCGGTGACACGTAAAGTAAGGAAGTTGAACCTGCGCAAAAGGAAAGAATACAAGTCTTAAACTTTATAGTGCCGTTCACAAGTGCTCTGCACTTAGAACATGGTCGTATAGAAAAATAGCTGCAACCTTTATGTTCATTTCAACAAAACAAACATTTTGAGGTTTACTGATTTTTCTTCTATTCTATGAAACTCCCTCCCCGGACGGGGTGAGGTCGCAGGTTTTTAAAAATTCGAGGCAGCAGTCTACAACAGAGGGGAGTCTCTCAGAACAGAAAGCGAGAAAACTAAGACCCCGCTAACAAGTTAAATGGGAGACAGATGAAGTTAACGATAGGAAGAGTATTGGAATAAACTTAGTAAGTGCATAGATTAGAGAGAACCGGCGAGAAATAAAAGGGTGAAATCCTGTTCTTTTTCGATGTTAATCTCTCGGAGATTCGAACTACCACACAATAAGTTTTCAAAATCAATAGTGGCGTATCAGAATAAATAAACAGAAGTTCTCAACAGAAGGCACAAACCCAATCAATTCAAGCCCAAATATAAACTTCTACTCAAGAAAAAGCAAAAGTATACAAAATAGAAAATACACTTTAAAAGAAGGAAAACTACAGAAAACAATACAAAGAACCTACTTTATGATTTTGATTGAGACCGAATGTAAGGGATGGAGAACGTACGAGATAGCATGTTATCCGCAGTTCTAATCACTGGGGTTTTTCTGAGAGAAAGGAAGGGTTTAGGAAGGGGATGGGAATCGGGAGGAATCGCAGTGCAAAAGGCATTGTTATGGGAAAGTTTGAACATAGCCTGAACTGTACAAAGCTCCATATCCAGAAGCTTGCAGTGGCGATCAGCGAGCGAGGAGAAACGGTGAAGCAGAGAAAGCGAAGCGGGGTTTCACACCGTTATATACAAGTGCCCTCTAGGGTTTCCAGGTTTTTCCACTTTTCGGAGCTGATCGTGTTCGCATTAGTTTTCTTTTTGGAATAAATTAAATAAAATATGCTTTTGTGTGTATATGTGTGTTAGATCGTCTGATGAAGGAATACATATACAGACGGTGGGGGAAAAATATTATGGACACACATTTATATCGTTACATGATATTGTCTAATTATTAAAAGAGAGTGGATATATATTTTTATATAATTTAAAATGCAATTGTTCTAATTAAGTTTATTCTAAGTTAAAATAAAGAAAAACTATTATGGTATTTATAGATAAATTATTTAAAAGAAAATTTAGATACTTGATAAATATGTTTTTATCAAATTAAGATGAATATATTTCAAATTTTAAATTTTAAAAATATTAATATTTTTTATGCAAAATGAACTTAAAAACATATTTTTCGTCCAGCAAATTACTTAAAAATTATCAATATAAAATATTGAATTGGATGTATTGTAGAGACCAAAATAGGTGTGGAATGTTTATAAACTTATAATAAAATAATTATCTTGAAAAGGACTTAGTTACAACAAAAATTATGCCAAGGACCAATTGCATTTGAAGGATCATTCTATATAAAATATTCATAAAACAATTTAACTAAGTGACCGAAATACCTCTCCTCTATGAGAGAATTTCAAGCAAAACAATTTCTCATGTGAGAAGTGAATTGTGATTTGGATCCTTCATCTCTTCATGACTTCCGCATGACTATGTGTGACCTCCACTATATGACTCTTCTCTTAGAAGACTTCAACTCCTCTCTTTGCATGATCTTTGAGTGTGTTGTGCCACTGTGTGTTCATGTCTGTGGAGGGCAATTTGTGGCAAGAGAGAAGCAACTTCAAGAAATGTGAGAGGCAATTTCCAATAAAGATTTTCTTTCTTTTTTTGCAAAATGTACTTCCCCCGTTATCTCCTGTTCGTCCAAAAGCTAGGGATATATTCCCAAGCTTGAACTTTTTAGCTAACCCAAGTTTGAAAGGGCTATCAAGGAGCCTTTGTTAATTCATAAATCTGAAATAGAGCTTGTAGGTATTTTTCTTAGAATTTCTTTTTGTTACAAGTTCACGTGTTTCATTTTGTGACTTTTGCTTAAGTGCTTTCCTTTCTTAGTTGCTAGTTAATGGTTATCTCTTGAATGTATTAATTAAGTTGAGAAATGATAGAAGTTACTATATAAACCTAGAAGTACAAATCTGCAAGTATGATTCAAAGTTCAAATTTATCTGACCCATAACCATATTTTCTAGCTAGGGGCTCCTTTAAACACCCAACTGTAGTGCTAAATTGAATTTTCTAAATTAACATTGTATTTCACTTTTAAATTATCAAACAGTAAGTAAAAAATAATAAAAAATTGATTTGTAAATCCTGAATGTTAAACATTAAATGTATTCAACATCCACAAGTTTGATGAAAAATTTATGCCCTTTATAATTTTAGAACAAAATTTTAATGCATTTCTCTTCTAACTTATGTTTTTGTTTTAGTTTGCCCAATCACATTTCAACTAAATTTTAGCTACATCTTGTTTGGTCCCTAAGACAAATGGATTGCATTCTTTAAATAATAAAAAATCCACTAGAAGATGCCTCTTTGCTATGCCAATTCTCTTACTTCATAATGCATTGTCTCTCTCTTTATGGATATGCAATATTAACCATTTATGAGAGTTGGCACAGTGAATGTCCAATATTTGTGATCAAATCAAAGTATAGCGGTGAGGGAAAGTATAATATCATGCAATGTGAATTTTTCACTTATTTTACTTTTTATTGGGTTTGTACCTTCTTGATGATCATAGTTTTAATTTTTTTTCTAGTATATTCATTCATCCCCTTTCTATTTTGAGATCATTATCTTATTGTTATGTGTCATCATCATTTTTGTTGGTATTTAATTATCATATGTTCATGTTTGTAATTGATGTAAAAACCTTTTGAATAAAGTTTAGTGGCTAAATAAAATTATGGTAATACAAAACTTTTGGTTGAGTACATTGTGAGAATCAATAATAAGACAACATACAAATGGTCATGGCATTTTTTAAAATATGCTAACCAATAAATTAAAGGTGATACTTATTATATAATAGCTGTTATATAATTTGTCATTTTGGTGTCAAAAATGAAAGTGATATAAGTGTAATTCAAGGTTTATAAGAGTTTGGCCATTATTAATCTATTAAATATTGAATTTGATTATTCAATGATTATTTTTGTAGATATAGCAAGGCAAGGATGATTGCTAGAATTTTAGCAACTATAAAAATTTTTCTTTATTAATTTCTTAATTTTCAGATAATCTCTTAAAAGATTCAACGAAAATGGTTGCAATATTATATGCGATGGATTTGATAGATGTAGCGTTGTATGTAATGACAAACATAACGTATGATAATTGTTGCATTAATGAAGTTTTCACATAATTGTTTATAATTATCATGAAATCTATAATCACTATCATAAGCATGCACTGTGTATTAACTTAGATAGCAAGCTTGGTGTGAACACTATATTTGTTCGGGCATATTTTACATTTAATAAAAATAATAATAAATTTAACCAAAATATATATATATACACAAAAATAAAATTTAATCCTTTTTAGGATTATATTTTAAAAATATATATATTCTAACAAAATAAAAAAAAGAGATATTCTTGCTTAATTCAAAATCAGATTTTTCTCTCTTAATCTGATTTCCAAAATCATGATTAACATAATATAAAAAACAACAAGAAAGCATTAAAAAAAAGAGGCATTAAGCATTAACAAAACAAAAAAACAAGAAAAAGGAAAAAATAATAATAATTGGGCAGATGAAATGCTGAATAATCAGCATTTCACCCAACCCTTAAGCTGCTTTTGGGCTGAACACAAAAGGAACCACACACGCGAGCAGAGGAGCAGACAAAAACACGTAAAAAAATGATATAAGCTGAAGGTTAAATGCTAAAAACCAGATCCAGCATTTAACCATTAGCTCCTAACCCTTCGTTCAGACTCACATACACAGAGAGAAGAGAAGAAGTAGAAACACGAGCAGAAAAGGAGACGCACGAGCAAAAACTAGAGGCACAAAGGAGTAGACTAAAACACGTAAAAAAAAGAGGAGAAGAGCAAAAATGCAGCCATGCAAAGACACACACTCACTCAAACACAGAGAAAAAGCACCACACTTTTTGGCCGAAAAGGAGGAAGGCAGAAAAGAGGAGAAACCCACGAGCAGATGCAAAAAAAAAGAAGAGAAGCTTTTGGCCATGCACAGCAGCAGACACGAAACAAACGCACAGCAGAAACACAGCCACGCATGCACGCAAGTGGAAGAAGAAAAAAGAAGTGCACAGCGAAATAAAAGAATTAAAAAGATAGTCAGGCAGGGAGACGAGAAGGAGGCCAAGGGTAAGACAATTAAAAGAAAAAAATAGAGCATAAGAGAAGAAAGAGAGAGACGAAGAGAGGAAGAAATAGAGATGGAGAGAAAGAGACGGATCGAAAGGGACCGAGAGAAGAGAGCACCTGGAGATAGAAGAAGAAGCGAGGATGAAGAGAAGAAAGCACTGATCTAAAACTGAAAAAATAAGAACCAGGAATGTGAAATAGAGACTGGCGCTGACTGAAAGAAAAAAAAGAGAGGACCTGTGATTTTGGCTACAGATTTTTGAGGTGGGAACGAATTGAGAAGAAGAAGAGGACGAGAGGCAAAGGAGAAGAGTTTTTTTTTCTGTGCAAAATGAACGAAGGTAGTCTTGCATGTAGGAAAGATCAGCATTTCGTTTCAGATGCATAACCGGGAGCTAACTAGTTGTTTCCATCACAAGTTTAATTTTCTGGTTTTTTTCTCCCTTCTTTGCTCTGCTATTGGTATGCTCTACTTGTTTTTTTTTATCTCATCCCTGTTCTAAATTCCTATAACAGATATGTGTGTAGATTTCTGTCATGAAAGGGATTCTTGATGATACTTCCTTGTATTTGAAATAAGGAAATCGAAAGTTTTAAAAGTTTAAGCATGGATAAGGAATATTTAAGAAAATATTTGAAGAAAAAGTAGCTTTGTATCATTGTGTTTTCTTTCTCTAAATCATATTGCATATCTTAAATATGCTCTAACACGTGTTTATTTACTTTTACAAATGAGGTTAATTTAGTTATAATACTTTTCCATGATGCTTTCGATTCTAACATTTAAAAAAATTATTATTGAGCTAAGTGATAAGTTAGATTCAAGTTTGTCTTTTAGTATGAAAGAGTATTAATCAACCCAAATTTAATTTCTATTTCTTTATTTTTTAAAGTCATACATTATTTTGTATTTAATTTCAATTTGAGTTTAATTGAATAATTGTTGAAGGTAATTTTTATTTTAATTATATCATTTTCATATGGGGATTTTAAATGTGTGGTTAAACATACAAATTTTATTTTGTTATTATTATCCAAATATAATTATAATTGATTAAAATATTTGAATGGTATCGTGAGAGATTTAAAGAATCTTCATAGATATTTAGCTTAATTGCCTCATTGTGAAGGATAATGACTCCTCGCAAATGTCATGGTTATAACTTATATAGTAAATAAATAAATAAATTTCATAAATAAAATTATAAATTTTTTTAATAATAAAATTAATTAATTAAATTAATGTATTAAATATTTTGGTCATATGAAATTTTTGAATGTCTATAGTCCTCTAGAATAATCATCTTATCATAAAAGTCAATAAGAGTTCGCAGGTATAACGATTAAAATTTCTATGTTTAAAAATGCAAATTGTATAATTATGCATTAAAATATATTAAAAATATATATTATTTAATTCTTTATTGTGTGAGGATTTTGAATTTCCACAGATATTTAGGATAATCGTATTATCATAAAAGTCAATAAGGCTTTGCAGATATGATGATTAAGAGTCTTTTTCAAAAAAAGTATATATGTATGGACGTACTAAAAAAATAATGATATTATTATTATTTAAAAATTT